TGATGTCATTGTGATGGTATAGTGTGATGTCACTATAGGGTGATGTCATTGTGATGGTATAGTGTGATGTCATTGTGATGATATAGTGTTTATTTTAGTGCGATGAAATCATTGCTGAATGTGTGTCATACATGTGACCTCATTATACTTAAAACCAGATGGTTGCCAATTTTCCAAAGTATCATAATTGTATAGTAAATGGTTTAGATATGTGGTTGATTGACTTTTGCATGAACCTGCCCGTGTACATTGTCATGGATTAATTCCCTTGGGTCATCCTCTTGTTAATGATACGTTACCAAACAAGCCGTAATAAAGGGATATGTAACGTTATACCTGGCAGTCTCGTTCCCACACCTGTGTGCCATACAGGTGCGTGAAAGACAGGGATACAGGTGTTGTGTAGCAGTGGTCAGCGTTTGGTTACTGGCAGAAGTGGTCAGTGTTGTGCCCCGGACAGAGGTTTGCTTGATGTCTCTGATGGACTCCGCGCTACTACCAAGGGAAGAGGAGGAGGATAATGATGGTACAATAAGACGTCACTATAATGTAGTGGACGAGATTTGGAACACTATATCAGAAAGTCGGCTCTGTGGTTTATGTAGATTAGTCAGGAATGTATTTATCAAGGTGGTTTTTTTTATAAGAGAAATGTTTATAATACACAAAAAAATACGTTTTTAATTGATTTAAATATGTAAAGTTGGTGAGACTCGGTTGTTCTGAGTCGATATAGTACGTCAAATGGGAGCTCAAATTACACCCAGGAGTAATCAGAGATGGCGTTAGTGTATCAAAACGAACACATATAACTGACCCGTGTGACGCTTAACGGCATTTACATACAGGTAAATAACACGTGCAACTGACCCTTGCCACGTTTAATGGCATGTATACAGGTCTAGATGTATAAACATTCAGCTGTAGTGCCAGGTAAGAGAAGTCAAAAACTATCCGTACTGATTACTCTACACCTATAAAATAACATCGTCTAATGTGTATAGTGGGATTGCATGGCCTGTGATAATTCTAACAATACACATTCAGTATCTATCAGGCTAATAACGGTGCTGTTGAGGGTCATTTCAGCTGGGGACGTAAATGACCTGTACAATTAGGGCAACAACAAAACAAACGATAAACAATAAATGTTTGATATAGCTGTATGTTCCGTTGTCACTGAATTATAATGTAATATCTGTGTATTTACCGTTTATATCTTGTAACGTACTTGTATATAGTTTTGGTACTGTATTAGATAAATCTGATGAAGTAAAGACATCAAGAATTTGAATTTTGATGAACGTATAGAAAATTTTGAATTATTGAAAACATTTTCCTACAGATTGTCATATTTTGTTTACACAGGCGGTATAGCCCGACCCAACACTCGGTGTAAGAGTGCGCGCAGTGGCAGCAATCGTGTACGGTCGGCCAAGAAACGGGACAGCTACTCCGAGGAAAAGTCATGTAAGTTTTCCTTCAATTTACAGAGTTGTTGAACATAACATGAATATAGCATTGTAATAGCCATTTCTCTTACACTGCACACACCAATGCCTTTAATGAGGAAGCGAAATGGGATTCGCTTTACCTTGATACAAAAGACAGATCACACTCATCTGTTCCAATTACACTAGAGTCGAGTCCAAGAACAACTCTATTTTGACATGGCGGCTTAAATGAGGATTCGTTAGTAAGTTTAAGTGTTAGAAAAAAGAAAGAAAAACCGGGGTGTTGTCCTTAGGAATTTCTCAATATTCTAGATAAAACTTTAAATGCGAAAAGTTGTTATAGAATTGGTTCAGACCATGCTGTATGTAGTCTTTAGGGTCGGAGGAACATGCTTACCGAATTTATTCAAATTCTTTTGTTTCTTATTATTTTCTCCACGGCAGGCGAGATCAGTCTGAATATGAAGATATATCAAGTATCGCTGGGATCTGAGGACGATACGGGCTCCCAACAGACCAAACGGGATTTGGCCGAGCGCTTCTACGACGTCATCATACAAAAGAAAGAACAATTCTGTTGGACGTTGGAGGCTGCTATTGACATTCGTGACGTCAAAGTCGAAACAATTACCAGAGGGAGCATGTGTGTTAAGTGCACGTGTTTGACACTTGGAGCATTAGAGTCACTTAATCAAATGTTCAAAAGTCGACGTCTGTCGGCTGTTTGTCAATCCGTGTTTGTCACGGATCGTATCCTGGAACTAGTAGGAGCCAAGTCAGTTAAACTGGATGTTACCATAGATACGGACGAATTGGACGCGTCACGAGAAGTGCTCTTGTCACGCAAGTTCAAAGAGTGTACATTAGTCCATCCAGCGGACACACTGTCCACTCCAACAGATTACCCTAGTCTTGACCACATTCCGGTCACCGCTGGTCAGTGCTATGCTAATAATGTTGACCTTATTTGTTCATTTAATATTTCTTGAGTTCAGTTGTGTTAGCATTGATGTTATCTAGATTGTCTGTCCATAGATCTGTACGTTCCTAATGTCTCTTACTGTAATAGGTCCTATTATCAGTACTACTGCATTTAATGTTGGTATTTTACCGATGTATTTGCTATTTTGGGGTAGGGGTAGACGTCAGAAAACAACATTTTAATTTCAAACATTTGTTTAATGTAAGAAAGTCTGAATATACATTTATCTTAAAAATCATTCAAGAGGGCATTCTTTTGTTTTTTAACCAATGTTTATTTCTCTGCTTGTAGATGTGGTAGTGATCGAGAAACACTTTGATGTTGTTGGCTGGCGCATGCGCCTCAGTGCTGAGGTTGAGGCAGTGCGTCATCGATACACATGTTTCAATGACTCAATCGACCTCTTCATCAGAACCCTGCAGATTATCATGCCGATTGGCAAAGTCGCCATTGAATCTCTTTCAGATGTCATCGGACTCTATAGCCATTTAGTCGGAAGTTCTTCGTTATCTTCCGGTATGCGGACTGATCTGGTTCGAGAGTATCTGTCGACTGTGAACAGTATACGAATTCTAGTAGACGACATTAAGGCCAAATCGTCTCAGGCCTCCGGGGACGAGAGTGACGATGACTACCAGATCATGACGTGTTTGATCAGTGAACTCCAGGACATGCTTCTACCCAAACACGTGTTTGAGGAAGATATCAGTGTCCTTGACCGCAGGGTCAATCCCGCGGAGAAGCCGTTCCTAGGGCTGATATGTTTTGTGCCACTTCTTCTTGCCAAACTGTCGACCGTTCTCTATACACTCAGCGCTCCCGGAGTATCTAAATAAAACTTGTTATATAGCAGGGCGAATTGTGTTATTTTGTATGGAACACAGTCTGCATTTTCCCGTGTGTTTATATCATGACGTTATTCCAACCTGCTTCTATCATCCCTGGATAATTGTTTACACCCTGTAGCAGTCGCATTCTTCATTGTGTAGCATTATCATGAAATCAAACTTTGGTAAAATCGAAACAAATAATGGAATGATGCTTTTAACTTTCATCAACGTATACATACGATGGCCGACAAGAGCCTGACAAAAA